CGGTACATGGACTGTATGTGCATTCACTGTAACTTATGAACAGGGTTATAGAGTTCCATGTTTCTTGCCCCGAGAACTCTCTTTTCTTAGGCAAAGCAGCTTCTAATGGAAAGGAAACTGTGTAAGGGGGTTAACTCTCCCCCCCCCAAGTGGGACATTTTTTAATTCCCCTTTTCTCTTCGTAACCATTAGTGTTTCCTTTGGGAAATAAATTGGGTTGATAGAGATATATGGGGGAAAGTGCTGGAGCTGGAAAGGAAATAATGATCTGGATACAAGGATGACTATATCTTGAGAGGAGAGTGGAAAGGGTGCAACAAAACTAGCACACCCGGATGCCTATTATGCACAGGTGTTTCCCTGTCCATCAGATTTTCTGTATTGATTTTCCTCCCTTCAGCACTTTGTTCATTTTCTGGTCACTGTTTCCCTTGAGTTTTCTGAGAGTGCTTTTGTGCCATTTGCCCCCTTGTTACACTTCTAAGCCAAAGGTAATTCAAAAGCGTACAGATCCCCTCAGATTTCCCCCCACTCTTTTGCAGCCCCTCAAAGGTCACTCCCTGCCCACATCGAGGTCATTCTGCCCACTTTGCACCTTCCACTATTCTCCCCCCTTCATCAGTGTACAAGCTCCATTTTTGTACCATTAAAAAAAAAATTGACAAGCGGTATGAATCTAGCAATATGAGAGTACTGTTAGTCTCGGATTGCTGAATAAAAAGAAATTAAAATGATGGAGGAAGTTTAAAAGGAGCTGCACAAGGTTGCGTTCCCTGCTGGTACTGACTTGAAAGGGGGATTGGAGAGGAGGCAAATGGTAGCATCCCCAGTGCAAAAAAAAAAAAGGATTTCAGTGTTGCATGCAAACAAAATAAAGGTGCGGGGGTCATCAGTACAGAATGAAATTGACATGAGATGTAAAGAGAGAGAGAGAGACTGGGATGGGACACCTAAAGCTCTGAAAAACATTTTTCCCTTTAATGCTGTAGTGAACAAAGTTAGGGGGAGAACCATTTTGGCAGACAGGAAGGCCTGGTGTGATCTGGTCCATGGGGTTGCGAAGAGTCGGACTCGACTGTGCGACTGAACAACAACAAAAAGAAGCCTAACATGAAAATGGTGGGTATTCTGCAAATTGCTGAATTTAAGAATCATTTGGAATCGATCCATTTGGAGGAAGACTGCAATTCGCACAGGACAGGCTTTAAAGAACTGCCAAGTGTGCAGGATCAAATTAGAGAGTCGCAAGTGGAGACCTGCAACAAAATGTTGCATAATGTGCTGTGGCTTGGGGAGACCAAGGTGGGGTATAAGCAAGTTCTTAAAGTAGTGTGAAGATGTCCTTCTTTCTGAAGGCATCTAAGAAATTAGTCTCTATTGCCAAACTTGTTGCAGTGAGTTCCATAAGTTCTCTAGGGGAGGGTCTCATGGCAGAGTGAGGATTCAGACCTGGGTCTCCTAGACCCTAATTTCATTCTCTAACTACTGGTGGTAGACAGTGCAGTCAAGTCACATTCAACATGGCCAGTGTTCTCTCTAAGCTGAGTTAGTGTGAGCTAGCTCACAATTTTTTAGCCTCTGGCTCACACATTTTTGGTCTTCGCTCAGGAAGTATGGCTCCAGAGCAAACCAATTTATGCAGTAGCCAAATCGCTCACTCACAACTTTAATGCCAGTAGGTCACAAAGTAGAATTTTTGCTCACAAGACTCCACAGCTTAGAGGGAGCATTTGGCAACCCTGTGGGTTTCCAAGTCAAGAGACTAACAGAGCTGGTTTGACACTACCCTCCTACACAACCCTGAACTTCCTCGGTGGTCTCTCATCATGGTAGGCTGACCCTGTTTAGCTTCTGTGATCCAGCAGACTTATTCTTACATTTACATAAAGAGGCAGAGCTATCGACAGTACTTATCTATATTATGTAGAATAAATGATGGGTCAGTTTTATAATTTCTTAACTTGGGAGCAATCAACAGTTGTTAACCATGTCTATGTCTGCCTACCCAAATGCTACCAATATACAGCCAAGCTAGGGTTGTTGACTTCACACCTTACTTATGCGATTCCCTTGAGTGGCCACTGTGTGAAGCAGGTCCTACCCATGAGTTTATTTATGTTGAAGACTAGACAGCTGCTAGACTTTATGGCCTGATCCAGAGGAGCTTTTCATGCTTCTTCCCCTCCCTTTCTCCATAGAAAAGGTATTCCAGTTAATATTCCGGGGAGGAGCCTTTTACCCTCACTGGTTGGGGGGTAAGAGGAGGAGGAAGATTCCCAATACATGCCCCAAGCAGTAGCCTCCTCCTATTGCCGTGGCAATGCAGCCTTGTTCCCCCCCACACACCTGGATGTCCTTGCAGGCCTCATCCACCTGCCTGTGCTCCACCAGTGCTGGTGCTTGCTGGCAGAGAAGAACGGCTGGCTGCGGTGGTAGCCCAGGAACAGGAGACCCCCTCCTCTCCCCCTCCACCTGACAGACTCTGCCTCTGCCTCAGTGTGTGACACAGTGGCCGGGACCTGGACTCAATTAAACTGGCAGTGACCATTTTAAACTGGCAGCGAACTTAACCATGCCATGAAGGCGAGAAGGGAAAGGAAATGAAACAAAAAAGGTTCTGGCACTTCAGGCGCCAAGTCTGCTTGAGCGCTGATGGAAAGGGGCCAAGGGGACCGAAGGGGAAGGCCTCTCCTGCTGCTCATTCCCTCTGCCTGGGTAAGTGCATTCTGTGTACATGTGCAGAAGAAGCTGTTTTCCTTTCTGGGAGATGTAAGTATCTCCCATATAATTTTTAAAGCATGTAAAGCTCCAAGTGTGCAGAAACATCCATGTGCCCCATATCTGTGGAAATAAGTATCCACACATAGGGGGTATGTTGAGAATTAGATATATAGACAAGTGTGGTCCGCAAAAAACTTGCAGAAGCAACTATTCCATTTCCCCACCTCTGTTTCTCCCCCTCTCCCCCAACTTCTCTCACATTCTTTCTCCTTCCTGCCACACCTTTTCTTTCTCTCTCATCCATGCCGGTCACTTCCTTTCTGCCCCCAACCCATCACTCTTTCTGCCCCTGTCACTCTCCCAACCTCCCACTTACTCCCCCCCCCAGCAGCAGTGACAACAGCCACTCTTCATGAATCACAGCAGATTGGCCAAGTACAGAGATCAGTTCCTTTTAGGGTTGCCAGCTCCATTTTGGGAAATTCCTGGAGATTTGGGAGTGGAGCCTTGGGAGGATGAGGTTTGAGCTTGGAAGTAACCTCAGCAGGGTATAATACCATAAACTCCACCCTTCAAAGCGGCCATTTTCTCCAGGGGAACTGATCTCTGTCATCTGGAGAACAGTTTTAATTTTGGTTGATCTCCAGCCCTCACCTGGAGATTGGCAACATTAGCTCTCCTGGAGTAAAGTACTGCTTTGGAAGGTGGAGTGTATGGCATTATATCTGTCTGAAGTCCCTCCCCGCCTCAATCCCCACCATCCCCAGACTTCACCCCTCAAATATCCAGAATTTCCCAGCCTGGAGTTGGTATCCATATATCCTTCCCACCCAACAGCCAACCTATTTTTATCTGCCCCTCTGTCTTCAGCTTTCCATCTCCTTTCCCCCTGCAGCTTCTACTAAGGAAAACTATGGTCTTTCTCCACATTGGGGACTCAGTTTACATTATTCTCTCCTCCTTTATAGCCACACACAACAACCCTATGAGATAGGTTAAGCTGAAAGTATGCGACTGGTTCAAAATCACACAGTGGCTGCCACAGCAAGATGGGGATCTAAACCTGGGTCTTGCAAACCCTACTCTGAAGCTCTGATCATTATACTACACTGACTTTCATAGGGTGGCTGCTGTTGAACAGTAGCAAGTAGCCAGGCCTAGCTGAATTATGCAAGTCAGGTGGTATCAAGTCACTCAGAGGGTGCTGCTAGGCCTAGGTTTGCCAGCCTACAGGTGGGACCTGGAGATCTCCCAGAAATACAACTGAACTCCAGAGAACTGAAATCTGTCCCCCTGGAGAAAATGGGTGTACTTTGTGGCATTATATCCAGCTGAGGCCTCTCCCCTCCCCAAACTCTGACTTCACCACAGACTCTCCAGGAATTTCCCAACCTGGAGCGGGCAATCCTAGTCCCAGGCCTGGCTCCAAACTCCCTGTTACTTAGCCATTCATACTGCAGGAGGAATCCTCCCCAATCCCAGATCCAGTCCTGCTTTTGCTTCCTCCCCCATCACTCTCTCTCTGTTTGGCTTTCAGCCAATCTATCTCCCATTGTTATGTGGTGGGGCCTGGGTAGATCCCTGTGGCAGCCATTTCAAAAGGGATGGGGGGATTCATCAGGCATTTTCATTATAATGTAATTGTTGTTACATGTTTTTGTGTGTGTACTTTAGGTAAAGTAAAGGTTTCCCTTGCTCAAAAGCCAGTCGGATCCTACTTTAGGGGGCGATGCTCATCTCCGTTTCCAAGCCGAAGAGCCAGCGCCGTCCAAAGACATTTCCGTAGTCATGTGGCCAGAATGGCTAAACGCTGAGGTGCACGGAATGCTGTTACCTTCCCACTGAAGCCGTACCTATTTATCTACTTGCAATTTCTTGCTTTCAAACTGCTAGGTTGGCAGGAGCTGGGGCCAGAGATGGGAACTCACGCGGCACTAGGTTCTTTAACTGCCGACCTCCAGACCTTCCAGTTTGCAGCTCAGCGTCTGAACCTCTGAGCCACCACGGTCATGTTTAGCTCATGTTTAGCTTGAACTTTAGCTCATGTTTAATTATTTTAATGATGTGTTTTTGTTTAGTATTAATGGTTTTTAAGACATGGTTTTTATTATATCAGGGCCTTAGTGGCCCTGATGAGGGCAGAAAGGCAGGGATATACATTTTGTCAGTAAATAAACAATAATATTACACCTTATATTAACTGCTACTTAGATGCTTGTAACTACAACAGCTCAAATATATTGTTGATTGATATCTGTGCATTAAAAATATATATTTACCTGGAGCTGCTGTTCTAGATCTGGAAAAGCCAAAGGGAAGGGATTCTCAGATGGGGTTTCATCTGAAAAGAAAACAGTTTTAAAGTTTACTATAAAGGCAACTCCATGTCATCAGCTAATCTAAAGCATCTAACAAAGGTATATGTAATAAATGTATATAACAAATATCAATTTGTGTCATCATATAAGTTCAGCTATTTGCATTCATAAGCTACCATAAAAATGCAACTCCACCTCAGAAGTTACCTGTGAATCGGACTTTCCAGGCAAACACCCTACTACAAAGGGTGTACTACATTTGTACAGGAATAAATCCCTATAATCAGGCATTTGTCCAGATAGCTTGATTCAGAAACAGGGTTGTAAACAGGCCTGGGAAAAATGCTTGAACCTCTAATATAGGCTTAATGTGCAGAAATGGGCAGCTGAAGCTCTTCATGGCCACAGAAGTAAATTACATCACCTGTCAATAACATCCCATTGTGCCTCTGTTAAGGGGACAGGGCATTTTTCTCCAGGCTTGTTAGCAATCCTAGTTCCCAGCACAGAACTGCAGGTATTTGTCTGATCCAAAGTCCTTGTGATGGCCATGTGGTATTTGTAATGTGTAAATCTGTCCTATATAAAGATGTCCAGGGGGTGTGATCCTTAATATGCAATGCATACCAGAATGCAAGAACTAGTGAAGAAAGACTTATTGGCTTGTACCCACTCAACTAAGTGCTGAGCTTTCTTCATGAGGAAGTGACAGATATGAAAACCAACTCTGCAGTTTCTGAGCCATTTTGCCTACTTTTGCTAGGCCTTTCTATTGACCAAAGCATAACCATTTTAGAATCTTTTAGGTCTCTCTGTCTTTCTAAAAAGCATAAACCCTGCTTGTCTCTTTCAGAAGCAAGTGCATCTTCTTGCATCAGCTAGAGATAGACATGACCTATTACCCTTAAAGGTCACTTGTTTGTTACAGAGAATGAAGACACCCCCCCCCCCCAAGGCACACCCTGTGAGAACATACTGAAGTCCAGTTAAGACCCACTCTGTCCTATCCATCAGAAGCACCTGCAAATGTACAGAACGTGAAGCTGTGCATGTTCATGGTGACATATTGTGGCACTGTAGGGCCACTGTTCTGAACATGGTCAACTTCTTGAGAGCCAGTTTGGTGTGGTGGTTAAGTGTGCGGACTCTAATCTGGGAGAACCAGGTTTGATTCCCCACTCCTCCACTTGCAGCTGCTGGATGACCTTGGGCAAGCCATAGTTCTATCAGAGCTGTTCTCTCAAGGACAGTTCTAGAAAGAGCTCTCTCAGCCCCACCTACCTCACAGGGTGCCTGTTGTGGGTAGGGGAAGGGAAAGGAGTTTGTAAGCCGCTCTGAGACTCCCTTGGGTAGTGAAGGGCAGGGTATCAATCCAATCTCTTCTTCTCTTCTTCTTCTTCTATCCTGAGGAGATTCTGCTGGCCAGACCATCTGACCCCAGGCTACAGTGTGCGCTGTCTGGCATCTCTTGGTGGGGGTGGGGTGGGGGTTGGAGTCTGTTGCTTTGTCCTCTTACCTTTGGGAAGCTAAGTGGTTTTGCTAATTACTTGCTATCTGTCTGTTGCTGAATAAACCATATTTTAATAAAGAACTTGTCTCAGTGAATCTCTGTATGACCAAGCTTAGTGGGAACTCTCCCAACAGTGCATGGTTTTGCCCCCTCTGAAAGGGTCTGATCCCCCTCTCCTTGACAGAGGCAGCTATGCAGTTTGATCTCTGAGGATGTCTTCTACTCAAGAGTTCAGCAGCTCAATTTTGGTGCTGTGTTAACTTATTGAACTACTTGCCGCAGGCCACCCCGTGAGGTAGGAGAGCATCAAGAAACATTAAGACTAGTTTTATTCCTAACAGAACAGCATCTTCCACTGTAGGAAGGCTCTACACTTTGCTCAGCAGAGCAGAAAGACTCAACCCAATATTTAGAAAGAAGAGAAGGCAGGTTCTTCACCTGCAGCTTGAGCCCCCCCCCCAACTCCTCAACTCCTCCCAGTGGTGCTGTCAAATGCAGTCAGCCATCAGTCTCACAGAGCCGTCTGCTTTCTCGATTTTATCCATTCCGTGTGTGATGGCATAGCCCACAGCCTCATCGAACCACGCAAGCCCCCTCGCCACGACAAGGCAGTGATCCATGAGGGGGAAGCTGGACATTAGCAACCCTAATATTTTACCCCCTCATGGATCACTGCCTTGTCGTGGCGAGGGGGCTTGCGCAGTTCAATGAAGCTGTGGGCTATGCCGTGAAGGGCCACCCAAGACGGACAGGCCACAACAGAGAACTCAGACCAAGTGTGATCCCCTGGAGAAGGTAATGGCAACCCACTCCAGTATCTTTGCCAAGAAAACCCCATGGACAGTATCAAAAGGCTAAAAGATATGATGCCGGGATCCACCTGGAGAAGGAAATGGCAACCCACTCCAGTATTTTTGCCAAGAAAACCCCATGGACAGTATCAAAAGGCTAAAAGATATGACGCCGGAAGATGAGCCCCTCAGGTCGGAAGGTGTCCAATATGCTACTGAGGAAGAGCAGAGGACAAGTACAAGTAACCCCAGAAAGAGTGAAGCGGCTGGGCCAAAGCCGAAAGGACGCTCAGTTGTGGATGTGTCTGATGGTGAAAGGAAAGTCCGATGCTGCAAAGAATAATACTGCATAGGAACCTGGAATGTAAGATCTATTAATCAAGGTAAGCTTGACGTGGTCAAAAATGAGATGGCAAGACTGAACATCGATATCTTTGGAATCAGTGAACTTAAGTGGACAGGAATGGGCGAATTTAACTCAGAAGACCATTATATCTACTACTGTGGCCAGGAATCTCGTAGAAAAAATGGTGTGGCCTTTATAGTCAACAAGAGAGTGCAAAAGGCAGTACTGGGATACAATCTCAAAAATGACAGAATGATTTCTGTCCGATTCCAAGGCAAACCATTCAACATCACAGTAATTCAAGTGTATGCCCCAACCACTGATGCAGAAGAGGCTGAAGTGGACCGGTTCTATGAAGACCTACAACACCTCCTAGAACTAACACCAAAAAATGATGTCCTCATCATCATAGGGGACTGGAATGCTAAAGTAGGAAGTCAAAAGGTAACTGGAATAACAGACAAGTTTGGCCTTGGAAAGCAAAATGAAGCAGGGCAAAGGTTAACAGAGTTTTGTCAAGAGAACACACTGGTCATAGCGAACACCCTTTTCCAACAACCTAAGAGGCGACTCTACACATGGACATCACCAGATGGGCAACACCGAAATCAGATTGACTATATAATTTGCAGTCAAAGATGGAGAAGCTCTATCCAGTCAGTAAAAACAAGACCTGGAGCTGACTGTGGTTCAGATCATGAGCTACTCATTGCAAAATTCAGACTTAAACTGAAGAAAATTGGGAAAACCACGAGGCCATTCAGGTTTGACCTAGATCGCATCCCTGATGAATATACAGTAGAGGTGAAGAATAGATTCAAGGGTCTGGATTTGATAGATAGAGTGCCTGAAGAACTATGGACAGAGGTTCGTGACATCGTACAGGAGGCAGCAATCACCACCATCCCAAAGAAAAAGAAATGTAAGAAAGCAAAGTGGCTTTCTGATGAGGCTTTACAAATAGCAGAGGAAAGAAGGAAAGCGAAAGGCAAAGGCGAAAAGGAAAGATTTACCCAACTGAACGCAGATTTCCAGAGAACAGCAAGGAGAGATAAGGAGGCCTTCCTGAATGAACAGTGCAAAGTAATAGAAGAAAACAATAGAATGGGAAGGACTAGAGATCTCTTCAAGAAAATTGGAGAAATCAAGGGAGCGTTCCATGCAAAGCTGGCCATGATAAAGGACAAAAACGGTAGGGACCTAACAGAAGCAGAAGAGATTAGGAAAAGATGGCAAGAATACACAGAAGAACTATACAAGAAAGACCTCGATGTCCTTGACAACCACGACGGTATAATCACTGACCTCGAGCCAGACATCCTGGAATGTGAAGTTAAATGGGCCTTAGAAAGCATTACTAACAACAAAGCTAGTGGAGGTGATGGTATTCCAGCTGAGCTATTCAAAGTCTTAGAAGATGATGCTGTTAAAGTTCTGCACTCCATTTGCCAGCAAATTTGGAAAACGCAACAGTGGCCACAGGATTGGAAAAGGTCAGTATACATTCCAATCCCAAAGAAGGGCAATGCCAAGGAATGTTCAAACTATCGCACAATTGCACTCATATCACACGCTAGCAAGGTCATGCTCAAGATCCTACAAGCTAGGCTTCAACAGTACGTGGATAGAGAACTACCAGAAGTACAAGCTGGGTTTCGAAGAGGTAGAGGAACTAGAGATCAAATTGCCAACATTCGCTGGATTATGGAGAAAGCAAGAGAGTACCAGAAAAATATCTACTTCTGCTTCATTGACTATGCTAAAGCCTTTGACTGTGTGGATCACAACAAACTATGGCAGGTCCTTAAAGAGATGGGAGTACCAGACCACCTCACATGTCTCTTGAGAAACCTGTATAAGGGCCAAGAAGCGACAGTTAGAACCGGATATGGAACAACTGATTGGTTCAGCATAGGAAAAGGAGTACGACAAGGATGTATATTGTCGCCTTGCTTATTTAATATATATGCAGAGTACATCATGCGAAATGCTGGCCTGGATGAATCACAAGCGGGAATTAAGATTGCTGGGGAAAAGATCAACAACCTCAGATATGCAGACGATACCACTCTAATGGCAGAAAGTGAAGAGGACCTAAAGAGCCTCTTGCTCAGGGTAAAAGAGGAGAGCGCAAAAGTGGGCTTGAAGCTCAACATCAAAAAAACTAAGATCATGGCATCCGGCCCCATCACTCCTTGGCAAATAGAAGGGGAAGTCGTGGAAGTAGTGACAGACTTCACGTTCCTGGGATCCCAGATCACCGCAGACTGTGACAGCAGCCATGAAATTAAAAGATTTCCTTGGGAGGAAAGTGATGGCGAACCTAAACAGCATGATAAAAAGTAGAGACATCACCCTGCCAACAAAAGTCCGCATGGTCAAAGCAATGGTATTCCCAGTAGTCATGTATGGCTGTGAGAGTTGGACTATAAGGAAGGCCGAGCGCCGAAGAATAGATTCTTTTGAACTATGGTGCTGGAGGAGACTCTTGAGAGTCCCTTGGACTGCAAGAAGAACAAATCAGTCAATCCTCAAAGAAATCAACCCTGACTGTTCCCTGGAAGGCCAGATAATGAAACTGAAGCTCAAATACTTTGGCCACCAAATGAGAAGGGAGCACTCACTGGAAAAGACCCTGATGCTGGGAAAGATTGAAGGTCAAAGAAGACGGGGACGGCAAAAGATGAGATAGTTAGACAGTGTCATCGATGCAACGAACATGAAATTGAGCAAACTTCAGAGGATGGCGGAAGACAGGAAGGCCTGGCGGGAACTGGTCCATGGGGTCGCAAAGAGTCGGACTCGACTGTGCGACTGAACAACAACAATATTTTACTCATCAGTATTCAACTGAACAAATACCTTAAAACATTCAGGAACTGTAATGGTGCATAACTTTGCCACTTACTTAAGACCCATTATGCTGAAAGGGAAAGCTTGGAATGTTTCTGTAATATGCAGCCCAGCTTCTCCACTCCTTCCCATCATGACTACAGATTGCATAATTCAACAAATGATCAGTCAGCAATAGTATGAAAAATGAATATCTGCCAAAACACTGTGATGTTACGGAACTTACAACATAGACCAGCTGTTTCCTGAGCATTTCCCTTAAGCTGGTCAGGATGATATTTTACAACCTCTCTTTTTGTACTTTTTAATTTTTGCAATTAATATCAGTCATTCTACCCCATACAAAGTGCTGACTGGAATGATGTAGGTTTGCCCGTTCTCTGTGCATTACTAAGATTATGTATTTTGTGTCCAGCAAGAGAAACCATAAGCAATGTTTAACAAAATATTTTCACTAACAACGTTCTAGTTATCACAGAGAAATACAAGAATATCAACTGTGTAAAATAATAATTTGAACTTTATTTTGATATTGGGTTGGGTTGGATCCTACCAGTAAATGAGTGGAAGATGCGTACAGTGGTGCATGTTTTCCTCCCTTCCACTTCCTGCACAGCTGTCTGTGATCCCTGAAAAGGTATTGTATGGGGCAATGAGACCCCCATTGCTATAAAACCACCAGGTATCTGTGAGTTGCAATGAGGAGGAGAAGTCAGACAGAATTGACCATTTTGCTTTTGTGGCAATAGAAGGCTTGTTGGTGGTGGTGGTGGTGGAGGAAAGTGCTGTCAAGTTGCAGCTGATTTATAGTGATCCCACAGGGTTTTCAAAGCAAGAGATGTTCTGTTTGGAGGTTGCTTGCCATTGCCTGCCTCTGTGTAGCAACCTTAGACTTCCTTGGTAGTCTCCTATCCAAGTATGAAACAGGGCTGACCCTTCTTAGCTTCCAAGATCTGATGAGACTGGGCAAGTCTAGGCAAACAGAAAGGTTATTCAGGCACATTTTCTTGGCCTGTTCAAGGAAAGAGGTGAGGATGGTTTCCTGTCCTCACTGCAAGACACCCACGTGCCTATTGGCTTTTTGTTCTTTTCAGGTGTCACATAAGATTGCTGTAGAAGGGGAACATCTGCCCCTGAGAGCCTTTAAGTTTGTACAACATTAGGATCTAGCCCAGGGGTGTCAAACTCATTTGTTATGAGGGCCAGATCTGACATAAATGAGACTTTGTTGGGCCAGGCCACATGTGTCATAAAATGTAATGCCAGGTAGCGGAGATATAAACTTTGTAGAGGACGCAGACAAACACAATTAAAGATTTTTAAAACTTTAAATAAAACATGCTTAAAACACTAGCACTCTTGCAATATTTTGTCTGTTTAACAGTCTCTGATAACTGACACCTCATGCTCTGAATTACTGCATCCAAATGTCTGTGCTGTAGCAATCTTGAGTATAATGTTCAGGTGTGTATCTGTAAGTTGCAAACCTACTTTTGATTTATTGACATTCATTACAGAAATCTCATGCCCAGTGTTGTGAGCCTAGGACTCAGGAGAAGACATGAAGTGACTGGACATTGCACCTTTGTTGCTTCGTGTGCTGGTCAAGAACATGAGAAGGCATCCTGGCACAGACTGAGGGCCATGTGTTTCCCCAGAGAAAGAACTACAACTTCCTACATAGGAGATGTGCTGGTGAACTTAGTCTGGACACACACTCTCAGCCCAATCCACTTCACTGGCTTGTTCTTATTCCTCATCTAAAATAGTTCACATTGCTTTCTTACTGAGAAAGACTGGATCATGAGGGCATTAATACAATGAAAAGGGGGAGGGTACCCAGTTGCACCCAGGAGAGCCGTGGCATAAAGAGCCCAACAAAACACACACACACACACACTGTAGCAAAGCACACAAAAGCTCATACCTTGAACAAAACTTTGTTGGTCTTAAGGCTGCTTGGTATTTCTCCTGTGTGATTGAGGCAGTCCAGCAAAGCAAGCTCTCCCTTGTTCCCTCCCTACCTTCGGAGAGGAGCCTCAGCCAATGGAAGGAAAGAAAGGCTTCCCTTTGTCTCCTGCAGCCCTGCCAGGAAGTAAGCTCTGGCTGTTCCCTCCCTCCCCCTGGGAGGAGGAGGGGGAGGAGCCTCAGCCAGTTCTTTACCAGACTCAATCACACAGGAGAGCCTTGTCTATCTATCTCTCATGTGCAATTGAGAAAGATTGGTAAAGCAAGCTGTGATGTCGCAGCAGCAGGCAAACTGGAAAAGGAAGCAGGAAACAGCCAGGTCCTTGAAGGCCGAATTGGGGCCCTCCAAGGGCCTGATTCGGCCCTCGGGCCGCATGTTTGACACCCCTGATCTAACCCAACCAACCACAGGAGCCAACCACCAGCAAGTGTAAACAACTAGACCTCCCCAATATAGCTTTAATAAACTGAACTTTACCTGGAGAGTCATTTAGACTGAAGGCAATTCGTATAGGTTTATCAGCAGGTACCCTTGCTGTGGTGATCATGTGGGCACTTGAGCCTATCCGTTTACTTGTATCTTCCAGCTGGAAATGATAAATGTAGCAGATATTACAATATGATGATAAAACATTCGACCACATTTCTGAAACTTAAAATAATCTCTTCTAAGTGTTTCTCACTATAAACAGCATTTACTTCCATTTAAGTTTCACTCTGAAAATGTAAGATGTCATGTGAAATCTGCATGCATATAGTCCCCCTGAGACTGTTGTTACTTTCATAAATAATCCTCTACATAATTACTTTTCAATATACAGTCCAATGGCAAAGCAAGGTCCTCATGCACATTTTCCAAGAAATTTAACTTTTCGATTGGACATGCACAGGTGTGTCTGAATCACAAAGGTTATTCAGAGGAAATCACTGTCTACACATATTCTGCTGCAAATTAGTCATATTTGGTTCTCAAACATAAGGAAACAACAACAATCAACAGAATATACACATACAAATACAGTTGTTAAGTTTTACTCATACCTGTATACATTTATATATCTTAGTACAAATCACTCTACAATGAATAACAACAATCTCTGTCGGAATAGTACAAACAATGGAGAGGAAAAAATGTCCAGTGAAACTTTTCAGATCTGTATAAATAGATCACGAGGTCCTGGATGTACTACATCCCTCGTTGCATCCTATAAGACTTCATCAGATCAATAAAGTACAGTAAATATGTAGAACTACATCAATAAATATATATCATACTGGCAAATATATTCAATATATATCATACTGGCAGATATATATTCAATATTTGGTTCTCAGCCTTTTCTGGGTAATCAATTACAGTAGCCAGTCACCTTGTTAAAACTCTGTTTTAGTCCAGTGTCTGAGACAATATTAATTGCCACTTATTTTTCTATATTTCCCTCCCTTGCTTTTCCCCAACTGTGCTTTACCACATCACTATGCACAAAAAAATTGGGGTTCTTGACATGTGGTTTATTTCCGGATGGTTCTACAGCTGCCAATTTTGGATTTGGAAATTCCTAGAGGCTTATCGGCTGAGCCCAGGAGAGTGTAGTTTGGGAAGGGGAGAGTGCTCGGTAGGGGTGTGACACTATGGAGTCCACCCTACAAAGCTGCCATTTTCTCCAGGGAAACTGATCTTTGTAGCCTGGAGATCAGGTATCATTCGGGGAAAACTCGAACTCCCACATGGAGGTCGGCAACCCTAGCTGTTCACACAAATAGGGTTACCATAATTTGAAAAGCAGAAAAGAGGACATACTTACCAACTGACTACTTCAAACAAGTGATTACCATGACCAATCTCATTTTAAACACCCCTACTATTTAAACTGTGATAATTGCTAACTAGGAATATTCCTAACCTTCCAACCCAAAAAGAGGACATTTTCATCAGTTTTTTACAAAGAGCCCATAAGAGGATAGACACAAGAAAGAGGACATCTGGTAACCCTATGTAAGAACACTTGAGAACTAGAACCAAATGCCTGAACTGATGCAGGTGAAAACTACTCTCTCTGAGGAGATGAAAGTGAATAGGTGGAAATCTATGGCAGTTAATCTCTGAAAGTGCATTCTCACGTGCAAGATATCTTTAGGATGGTTTCTGCCTATGAACCTATCTAGACTCTTAAAACAGCCTTACCCCTGGGGATTTGGTTGTCATCATCTTTATATGCCTGCAGATACTGAGTCTAAGCTCTCCTATTTCAGCATGCTCTTGACCCAAGTGGCAATTAATGATTTCTGGCATTATTTCAGTGGTGTGCTGTCCTGTCTTTTGGTTTGGTATTGTATCATTGTTGTGACTGTTTTTATGTTTTTGGCACATAAAAGTTGTATTACGTTATTACTAATTGCTAACCACATTTAGCATCCATTAAGGTGGAAAAGCAGGATAAAATATTATAATAAATAAATAGGTGAGGTCATCATATGATGAGTAGGTTTATATGATAGAGATCTTTGTTGAGCTGTCCCACACCCTTCAAAAATACAGTCTCAAACTTAGTGCATTCAAATCAATAGCTCTGTTGTAGGCACTATCTATTTGTGAATTCAAATTTATGCTTGTTTTGTAACATACAGGGGTCATTTCGTAGAAAAAGAGCTAGGGGAACTCATTAGCATAACTCATTAGCATATGCCACACCCCCTGACATCACCGGAAGTGTGTCATAAGGCCACACACCCTGCCCCCAACGGTCCCGGCCGCCAGTGCTGGCCTTGCAGCTCCACTGCCGAGCCCCATGAGGGGCCCGGCGGTGGACCTGCAAGGCCGGCGGGAGTGCAAGGAAGCCCCACGAAGGCCTTCCCTGGCCCCAGGCAGGCAGGGGGAGGGAGAGGCAGAGAGGAAGCAACTTACCCTCCCTCTTCTCCTGCCTCTTCCTGGCTGAATGAGGGCCGGAAGCAGGGCGGCCGGAAGCAGGGGGCGGGGCTTCGTCATGTGCCCCGCCCCCTGTACCTCACCCAGGGGAACTGCGTTCCCCCGCGTTCCCCCCCGAAATGACCTCTGGTAACATAGCATGAGTACAGCTAGTCTCCTTTAGTTCTAGCTTATCTGAGCCTATTATAAAAACATTTACTAAGTAGCAAGCATGTTTATATGCAACATTGCTCCAGAAAATGGGACCATATCAAAGAGGTCTGTGCCTAAATCCTGTTAGGAGCATAAATGCCAACTATTTACAACGAATCTGCTATAATGATACCATCACTGCTTAAATCTAATATGGCTAATTGTAAGAAAACCACAAGAATATATTATAATTAATCTATTCTGTAGTCAGTATGAGATTTAACTGGTGGATTTCAGCAGGTTTAGAAGAGTGTTACTCTGTTTAGGATCGCACCGTTAATTTGCTCTCTTCCTAGTCACAAGTAGACTGGAGATAGTTTATGATAAAGAGCTTGTAGAAATATGGTCCTCGTAGCAAAGTGATTTGAGGGGCACACATTGATTGCCTTCGGTAAAGCTAATGGGCACACAAGTTGGGTCTGGGCTCTGCCTTGAGTCCTATAGAACAGTCATACATGAATTACAAGTTCTCCTCAATTGATGCCCATGTGCTACCCAACCCAATTTGGATTTTGATTATGGTGTGTATGGCTTCAGCCTTCACCACCCCACATTATTTTCCTGAAGCAGTTGGTTCTAGGCTGTCAAAAGCCTTTTCAGTGTCGATAGAGAATACCAGTCTCAGTGTTGTGAGTTTTGCAGTATCTCTCCTTATACCTAATCCTATTTTGGGGTGGCAAGATTCCATGCACTCCCTCAGCCATTGGCCCGTCAGCCGCCACTCAAGAGTACTCGTGTGACATTGGCCGGGTGCTGGGTCTGCTCCTCTTCCCTGCCCACTCCCCTTCAGCCACTCTGCTCTGTCAAAATTACTTGTAAACGGATTTCTCTCTTGACGAAGACACTTCTCCTGCTTGCCTCCTGTGTGGGACTTAACTTTTCCCTCAGTGGCTGTTGGTAGGTGTAATGAACTGGCAGTTAGCTGTGTCTGTAAGATGGCTGCCGTCTGTGTGGTTGTGTTTAAAATGTTCCCCCATAAAGTTTAATTGAGCTGTAGTTCCAGAGAGAAGCCTGCAGGGATATCACTCACTGGGTTGAATGGGGCTTCCTCATCTGCTGGCCTACAGTTCCCAGCAGCCCAAAGGCCAAAAAGTGCAGGAAAAGAGAGACTGTCCCAAGGGGCAGGGCAGCATCAATATAGACTCCAGCCCATCCACGGAGGAGGCAGTCTTCGTCCTACAAGAGGTTAGGAAATGCTCCTGCTGCCTGTGCTGATGAGGCTGTCCAAGCCACAAGCCACAGATTTTTTTTTGAAAGAGGATTGCGTTTAACCCCTGTTGATTTATGTCCTGTTGGTTCATAGTGTGTGCTTACTCCTACAGTTCTGCCTTATTCATTTAGTGTGTGTGTGCTCCATAATTGTATAAATAGTTAAATAAATTCTTTTATTTGGGCTTCTAATCTGTGTTGTGCTCTGACCACATAGTCTCCCCAGCTCTGCACAATAACAAAAAGAGGGGGTAGCCCAAGGAAGCAAGGAAATACCAGACCCTTGGGTTGCCAGCTTTCCAGGGATCCCCCAAAGATTGGGGATTTTATCTCCAAATAGGGAGATTTGGCCAGAGGGGTCTCACTGTCCCTTTAAAAAGGCAGTGACAATTCAGTGAGTGGTGGCAGCGAATTTAAGGAGTGAGATACACCCATGGGAGCTGAAGAGTGAGAGGAAAATAAAGGTAGGTTGAGGTCTGGCTAGGAAGGAGATAGGGTTGCCAACTCCAGGTGGGAGATTCCTGGAGATTCCTGAATATTTGAGGGATGGAACCTGGAGAGGGTGAGGTTTGAGAAGGGGTGGGACCTCAGACAGGTACGATGCCATAGACTCCACCCTCCAGTGAGAGCCAGTTTGATGTAGTGGTTAAGTATGGGACTCTAATCTGGGAGAACTGGGTCTGATTCCCCACTCCTCCACTTGCACCTGCTGGATGACCTTGGGCAAGCCATAGTTCTGTCAGAGCTGTCCTTGAATGAGCAGTTTCTGTCAGCGCTCTCTCAGCCCCACCTACCTCACAGGGTGTCTGTTGTGGGGAGGGGAAGGGAAAGGACTTCTTAAGTCGCTCTGAGACTCTGAGTAAAGGGTGGGGTATAAATCCAATCTCCTCCTCCTCCACCTCCTCCTCCTCCTCTTCTTCTTCTTGTCCTCCCAATCAACCATTCCCTCCTTGGGAAACACTGTTGCCAATCTCCAGGTGAGGGGTGGAGATCACTCAGTATTACGACTGATCTCCAGGAGGGGGGAGGAAATAGAAATCTGACATCAGAGGAGCAGATAATGGCAGGTTGATGCTTGGCTGGGAAGGAGATAGGGTTGCCAACTCCAGGTTGGGAAATTCCTGGATATTTGAGGGGTGGAGCCTGGCGAGGGTGAGGTTTGAGGAGGAATGGGACCTCAGACAGGTACAATGCCATAGACTCCACTCTCCAAACCAGGCATTTTCTCCTGCGGAACCATTGTTGCCAAACTCCAGGTGA